TAGCAAGAAAACGTACCATCACCATTATCTTGTGTTACACAATATAAAGTACTAAACATTATATAGAATAGAAGATAGTATAGATTAATGTAGCCACCAGAATATCTATATTTTGTACTACTAATTGATTCTGCCAAATGTGGTGCCGTGACTTTTTTGACACGCAAAACATTGGCTATTTGGATGAAATGACATACTATGTTTTTGGGAAGCTCCCCAGTTTGTAAAAAAAGAATACATATATAATGAATGCAGCGCACTTGCCTTGGAGCTTTTTTTTTCTTTTAAAGAACATTAATGTGTGGGTCACTTCATGTGTAAAACTTTGTGTTATATATTGTTTATGGTTAACTGTCATGAACTGGTGAGCCTAGCTCACGTCAGTTTGTCCACCACCCATATAAATCCCTATAATATTGTTCTTATTCCTGATGCTTGTAGGCCTAAAGCCGTTTCTGCATCTCATTGTTTTAACTCTGGCATAGGAAGGGTATGTTGGATCACCAATCCTGACTACTGTATACATAATACATTTACTTCTATGCTATCGATAAAGAGTCATTGCTCGTAACGTCAGCTATTTTTAATAGTTACTTAGGACAACGATAACCAAATATTATCTACTATAATATATCATACTGTGTACATGGATTTGTTGCTCTTCATGTTAGTCGTTAGGATGTTATGATTTAAGTTATTCGGTTATTTACTTTTTTATGAGACAGGAGCGGTATTTTCTTGTGCTGTGTAATATTATTTATTAATGTAGCACGGATTTCAGATGCATTCAGTTGCCAACTGCCTCTTTTAGTTAAAATAAAGTGAAGTCATGTTTTTGAATTCCAAAAACAATTATTATCTTCTCACTCAGAAATAAGATGCAAGAACATATATGAAGTGCTTTCAGAATCGGGCAGTGATAAAAATATATTAATCTTTCCCCACTTCTAAATGATCACTTCAGTGCCAATATATGTGGTGACTAGGGTTATTTAACGTCCTTGGTGGCTGCTCTGTTACTTGTTTCACTACTTCTACAACTAGTTGCAAGTTGCAACTCTGCAAGCATTTGCCTTAATCACTGGACAGCTGTTTCATTCTACATGCGTAATAAACTGCTTAATACAAAAACAAACACTTCTATTTTCGATACTGTTTTGTGGAAAACCTGTCGAAGGATTTGGTTTTTGAGAACATATACACAAATATAATTACAAATTATGTAAATACTCATTTATTATGTCATTATAACGATCTTTAGTAATCACACTGTCATTTTGTTCACTTCACAGGATGGAATGATGTTGGCTGGAATAATGATTTCATTCCTACTCCAAACTTGAATGAACTTGCTCATGATGGTGTTATTCTTGACAATATGTACTCACAGCCTATGTGCACACCGTGAGTATTTCATGCATAGGAGAGTGCAATGATTACGACAATACGTTGTCTTCCATAAAAGCCATTTTTCATTTATAATGTCTTATTTATGTGTACGATATACCCACGTTGCACCACCAAGATGTAACAGGCAACGTATTTCACTGTTTGCTTTATGCGTTGCTCGGTGTGTTGATTAAACACGAGAACTATTTTTGTTGTTGACGTTACATAATATCTTATTTGATAAGCCAGGCTATATGAACAAAATAGTCGGCCATAACCCAAAGCATGCCAAAAAAACTATGGGTGTCATTGTTATAGTGCTTTACCGTGATCATGCATGTTATTTTAATCACTTCCAAATATGAGTTTTATATGATGGTAACTTTACTTCGTATGACTTACGATTGCTGTTACAGGTCGAGAGTCGCTTT